AAATCTTCCATCTCATAAATCTAGATTACTCTGCATTTCTGTGATCTCTTCTGGACCTAGGTGGCAGAAGTATACAAGTCTAAGTTATGAAGTGGAAGCCCTAATTTCTAAATGCAGAACCATGCACAGAAAGGGAAAATATGTACAAATACTCACATATACGTCGTTTGTAGCAAAGCAAAATTAACTTACCAGCATCCTGTGAGACCGTAGGGAAGTGACATTCTGAAGTTTCTAGCAAATAAAGGAACATATTACTGGGAATTAATAATGGTATCCATTGTTACTAAAGTATGTAAAGGGGCATCTCTCTTTAATGTGCTGGCTTTTTCTTTTAGTACATATGAAAATATTTTAAGGGATTTCTTAGTTCTGACCTGCTCTCTAAATTTTTTTCTCTCTCAGGTCTTTAATGTGAAAATTACAGATTCTGTAGGACTTTATTCTAAGAGTTTCTAGGAGTTTTGTATGTATAAATTTATGTGGAAACCCAGAAATGTAAGGAATTCATTTTTCCCAGAAAGGAATATAGAGGAGTGAGGAGTAATGCAAGTGGGAGTAACATTTGAATTGGCACTTGGGAATAAGAAGGATTTCACCAAGGAGGCTGGAGCAGAAAGGAATTCTAAGTGGGGGTAATGGCCTCCTGGAAGCATGAAAATGCATAGCATGTTCAGGAATAGCAAGTAGGAGTTTGAGGTAGCTGAGACTGAGAGGAAGGGATGAGCACAAAGCCAGAATTATTAGTCAGGGCTATTCCATGAAAGGCTCCAGTGAACTTTGTTGGACAACCCAACTTAATTTTTGCCAGAAGTTAGATTTAAAACATCAGGAATGAGTGAGGCCTGCTAAAATTGGAGTTGTTATTTTTCTTCTCAAAGATGGTAGTAATTGTTGAATTTTTGGAAGTTGGTGGAACAGCCCTGAAGGGTTCCATTATTCCCATGAAAATTAGTAGTTCTTGTGGTGAGGAAATGTTTTAGGAATTGTTGATAATAGGTATGTCAACAACTTCCAATTGCATAATGCCCCTAGAAAGATCCAAATCTTTTTCATGTGTTTTCTTTCATATTCCAAAAATAGTGTTGGCAAATGTTCAGAGAAGGCAGAAATTTGCCAGAGCATACTCTTTAAAACCCAGCTCACCAATTTATGGAAGCAATCTTAGACAAATCTCTTGCATGTCATTCAGACTATAGTACTTGACTTTGGTGTCCATATGCATCATGTTATGAATTGTATGTGTGTTTAAAAAAAAAAGAAAACCTTTTTTATTCTTTCTGTAACTTGCTCAAGTACTATAATTTGACCTGAGTCATAATTGCAATACTCACCTTTCTTTTAGTCCAAACTTTTACTTCCAGATCCTTATTATCATTTCCACAAGGGATTAAGAAACACCAAACATAGGAACTAAAATACTTCGCTGTTTTAAAAAAACATAAATTCATGAATGACATTGAAGATAAAAAGCAGTGCTATTTATGGGCCTTAAGTTCCTCCTCCTTCCCTATGAAATCAAATTCACACATCATTCTAGCTGGGACTTTAACAAAGTTAAACAATACAAGTGACAAAGTCTTAAAGCCATGGAAAATGCCATTATTGTTTTAATCAGATATTAAAACTTAAGTCTGGTCAGAGTTGGATGACATAGTTCACTAAGAGAATAGAGGGGCTTTTGCTAACTGGTTATTTAGAGTTTCCCCTAAATTAATGTTGATTATGTTTCAAATTCCAAAGCTTGCTCACGTACCGAAATATAATATAATGCTTCCGCTTTCCCCTGACTACTAACTTACCAAGGGAGAGAAAGTTAGTAATGGTCAAATTTTCCCACAGCTTATTCGGAGGTCTTAGTAGTAGAAAATAAATGAGGGGCTTGGGTTTACCTCAGTTTGGCCAGCCTAGAGCCTACAGTAATAGTCCAGAAACAATAATACCCCATGTTACCAAGGGACAGAATGGTGTCAGTTTGATTGTGTAACTCCAGGACACCCTGTGTTATGTGTCTTTCAGTTTAGTTATTATTGCCAATAGCATCATGTTATGTGGTTCTGGAATAGATTCTATATAGGGTACCTGAAGGTCCTTCCCATACCCTGCTAACCAAATAGCCAGTGCTATTTTTATGTAGAACCAGGCAACGTATAATTTCCATGACTGTTATTTAGAATGAGTTGGCAAGTTCAAACCAGATTTTATGAACATGCCTGGCATTGTCAGTAAAACCTGAAAGTTGAGCAAAGTTACTTTTCCTCAAATGGATGAAAGGTTTTTTTTTAAAGCATTTGTATGATAGTTTTGTAAGATTTATGAAAGAATATATTAGATCAATTTTTTAGGCTAGGTATCAACCAAAGATCATTTAATTAATGATCTCCCCTGAATTAAATTAAATTTCAAGATGTGAAACTGTTTCTGTTGTCTTCAAAGAACCAATTTGGGATGTATCCAGAGTTTGTTTTTATATGCTTTAATAAAGCATGTGTATCTATCAGGGGATCTGTTCTGTTGGTAAGTATAGATATTTTCATTCTGATTATTTATTTTCACTTCAGAGTATCAAGACAATGCAAGACTATAAAACTTACCAGTGACACTCCTCTCTACTCTCTTCCTTGATCGTCACAGACTCCCCAAGCTGTAAGGAACTTTACAGATCATTCCCTTCATTTCACAAATGAAGAAATTAATATCAAGCAAAGTCAAAAAGGCAAAAAAAGAAAGAAATTAATACTTAGAGAAAACGATGGACTTTCCCCTTCCCAAGTTTATATAGCAGGTTAATAAAAGAACTATAACTAAAACCCAAATCTCTTGCATTCTGTTACATTATGTCTTCTATGCTGGCAGAATATTAAGTGTATCTGTTTCTTTTATTTTTCTGTTTCTACATTTGGAGCCCCAATTCTCCTTCAGTGAACTGCTGAAAGCAAGTGTAAAATAGAGTTTATTCCCTAGACTAAAAGAGAGATCCCAGTCTATGTTTTCAAGATCTGGCCTGTTAACACAGAAATGTATTTTTATTACATTCAAAAAAAAGAAAACAGTAATTGTAAGACCCCTTTATTCCCCTAATTCAGTACCCTCCTCCTGACCCCCTGCACACACACATTCTTTCCTGGTAAAAAGATGGGAGTAAGTGGGTCACCGATTGAGATAATTGTCCAGATACTTAAAATATATTTTAGACGATAGATTCAAAAGTGTGTGTGTGTACTTTTGAGAGATTTATGTCATATGACTTAGAAGAATTTCAATGTTAGTTTCTTTTTAATTTCTTTCCTCTTGTGATAAACATTAGCATTCAAAAGGGACGAAAAGCATATTCTACTAGAATGTTTGCTTCCATTATTTTATGCAAAAAAAAATCTTAGCCTTACATGATCTTATTAAGCATATGGAAATATTATGTCAGACTACTTTTTTACTGTAAATAAAATAATTTCTCAATATAAACATGTGTTCTTTTAATGATCATCAAACTCATTCCAAGGATACATTTCAATTTGTAACCATGTGCATTTTATTTTTAGAGAGCTTTTAACTCTGAATCACTAAATTTCTAATGCATTAAATGACAAATCAATGGTTCCTATTTTAAAGACTTGAATAAAAGATAGTATGATTAAAAAGTGAAGACTTGGCTTACACTTGTAATCCCAGCACTTTTGGAGGCTGAAGCAGGAGGATCACTTGAGTCCAGAAGTTTGAGACCAGCCTGGGCAACACAGCAAGACCCTGCTTCTACTACTTCTACTAAAAATTAAAAATAAAAAAATTAGCCAGGCATAGTTTTGTATGCCTGTAGTTCCTGCTACTCAGGAGGACGAGGTGGGAGGATCATGAGTCCAGAAGTTCAAGGATGCAGTGAGCTGTGATTGCACTACTGCCCTCCAGCCTGGGTGACAGAGTGAGACCCTGTCTCAAAGAAAAAAAATGAAGACTTAAAAAAAATTATCTGCTGTTTCATACTTTAGTATTGCCATGTTGGTTTTGGCAAATCACCTTATCTGAAAGTCATTTTAAATAAAAGGGAATCTAAATACAGAATGATTGCATTAGAAATCAGCATATAGCTCCCTTGGTGGGTTAGTGCTGAAAGTGGCCCCACAGGTGCTTCTGGATTCCAGTAATGCTCTACCTCTTTGGGTACTGGTTACACATGCGTGCAGAGCTGACGTATTTATCTGGACATTTTAGTATGTACTTTATGTTTTAATTCAAAGTAAAAAAATTAAGATGCCCAAATAAAGCCTATGAAACTTGCCGTATACAACATACAAAGTGAGACTAGTAGTATCGTGTACTCTTTATTATTTGATTCCAAATTTAAAAGAATAGGCTGGGCGTGGTGGCTCATGCCTGTAATCCCAGCACTTTGGGAGGCCAAGGCAGGCAGATCACCTGAGGTCGAGACCAGCCTGACCAACATGGAGAAACCCCACCTCTACTAAAAATACAAAATTAGCCAGGCGTGGTGGTGTATGCCTGTAATCCCAGTTACTCAGGAAGGCTAAAACAAAAGAATTGCTTGAACCCAGGAGGCGGAGGTTGCGGTGAGCTTATATCGCACAATTGCACTCCAGCCTGGGCAACAAGAGTGAAACTCCGTCTTAAAAAAAAGAATAGACTGAAAAAATTGATAGATTGCTCCAATTTTTAGAAAAAGTTTTCCTATACTCTACCAGAAACGTAGATGTTAAATTACTACAATTCAAAGGAGTATGTATGTAAATCAATTATATTTGTCATTAAGGTAAAAACAGGACCTTGCCTTACCTTCTGAGTTTCTGAAATGTGGGATCTTTTTTGTCTTAAAGTATATTTTAAACATGATTTTATACACTGTCTTTTAATGAAATGAAGTATAACTCACTTCTAAGTAAAGTGTTCTTCAAATTTATTTGTATGGTTGGTAATAGATGGCTTGTTATTTTTTTTTCTGTGACTTGGATACAATAAGAAATATTTACTTTGCAAATCATCCTTAACAGGTTGCCTCTGCCAGAACAGACGTTCATGGGCTACTGGACAATTGGTCAGGCAAGAAGTGGGATGCAAAAACTCTTGTGTCCAGTGGAAACTCATCATATAGACATAAAGGTTAATATCATCATTATTTTCTCTTAAAATATTGAACCTTATAAATTTTGCTGTATCTTCCCTGGAGATAATCCAAACAATCTCAGAAATGGTTTGTTCTGATGTTATTTTAGCTTCTGCTCTAACTTTCTGATCAGGCTGGCCTCTCAGTAGACAATTCCTAAAGGCTAGATAGAATTTCTAAGGAGCTAATTGGATGATGAGAGTCAGGTATGTTACATATTTTCCTAGGAAAGTTGCTCTGTGATATTTGTCTTATGCTAATAGGATTAAAACTTTGTGCTTTTTGATTTTTGGCCTCTTTAGCCACACATTGTTGCCAGATTCAGGCTTCATGTGAAAGGAAAAGAAAGAACTATCAGTCACTAGTTGCAATAGCAGTCCCTCTAGGTATTTCAAGCAGAAAGGAATTTACTGTGAGAAATTAGATACTTGTAAAATCATTAGAAAGGGCAGCAGGAACAGAAGTGTTGAGGGGCAACACTGGACTTGTAATTTCAAGATCAGTATTTCTGCTTCTGCTGCCATTGCTGCTGCTGAGGGCAGCACAGTAGAGCAGCGTCAGCAAACATTTTCTCTAAAGGACCACAGAGTCAATATTTTTTAGGCTTTGTAACCATACAGATTCTGTTGCAACCACTCAACTCTGCCATATAGTGCAAAAGCAGCCTTGGCAGTACGTAAACAAGTGGAAGTGGCTGTGTTTCACCAGAATTTTATTTACAAAAAAAACAGGCTATGGGTCAGACCTGGCCTGCAGGCCCTAGTTTGTCAACCCTTACAGTAAGACAAAGTGAAACACACCCAGACATGTGCTAATCTGACTGTTCATTTTTGTCAGAGCCTCCTTGTCTGCTATTACTGCAGGAAGATGGCCACTACCTCTTTTCTGCCTTCCAGATCTCATTCAAGTGCATTTAATTGGCAAAACCGAAATCATTTCCAGAACGCTTTCTATTTATTATTATTATTATTGAGACGGAGTCTTGTTCTGTCACCCAGGCTGGAGTGCAGTGGCGCGATCTCGGCTCACTGCAAGCTCCACCTCCCGGATTCACGCCATTCTCCTGCCTCAGCCACCCGAGTAGCTGGGACTACAGGCGCCCTCCACCACGCCCAGCTAATGTTTTGTATTTTTAGTAGAGAGGGGGTTTCACTGTGTTAGCCAGAGTGGTCTCGATCTCCTGACCTCATGATCCACCCGCCTCAGCCTCCCAAAGTGCTGGGATTACAGGCGTGAGTCACTGTGCCTGGCTACCAGGATCCTTTCTAAAGGGAGTATGAGAAATGCAGTTTCTTACTCCCCTAGCCCCTGAGATACAGACTACATAGAAGAGGGGTGGTGGGCAGGGGACATAGATGCCAATATCTAGTCCAAACATTTTTGATTAAGGACTGTAGGGCATGCAAATCACTGGAATTTTGCTTACATCTCTAGTGTTCTTTCAAGAAGTCATATCTAAGTACCCAGAACTAATATTCTTAACATTATTAAATTAGGTACTCTGCTTATATTTATATTGAATAATTATCACCATGCATGAAATACTCTTTCATAAGTAACACTAGTGATTATCAGTAAGTTTGGTTTTTTAAAAAATTTCAAATGCCACATGTTTTGCATTTAATTTAAAATACCCAGGTTTAACCATTACATTTCTGTGTAATGACATAAAAATCCTTCTTCACAATGGAAATGTATCAGGCTCTGGCTCATTCATTTGCAAATTATTCTCCTGGTTTGGACAGCTCTGGGTCCTGAGACTTGGAGTTCAAAACTGGCTCTCGCCTTAGGAAGGAATGAAGAAATGGAAATGCTATGGGATTTTACATCTGGTGTATTTTGTGAGTAAAAAGAAAAAGTGAGAAATTAAATAAGATAGCATATGTGAAAGCATTTATAAATGCAAATGTATTATTATTATTGTTATGAGTACTAAGCCTATCAATAAATTGAAAAAAGAGCAGGATATTAAATACTTGAATTTAAAGTTTATATTTTGGAAGAACTTTAGCTTTTCTACATTTTGGTGACAACCAAAATGTCTTCACTGAGATAACTGCTTTATTGTAGGGTCCAGCACTTATAAATATACAGGAGTATCCAATAGAAAGACATGAAGAAAGATCCCTAAACTTTACTGAAGAATGTGCCTCCTGGAGAATACCGCTGAATGAAGTTAATATAATCTGTGACATTGCTACATCACATGGTATGTCCGCTTATTCTTTTGATCTTTCTTTACTGCATATGTTTTTTTAAAAGAGGGATTAAAATAATCTCTAGACATCAAAAAGTTTATGATAGACTTGGTGTCTGTCATTCTTGGATTGGATAGCAATTATATGTAATTTAGAACTAATTTCCTCTAACAACCTAACAAAATGCTATTGTGGAATCCACATAAGCACTGCTGAGTTTGTATGCATATGTCTGTTTCTCATTACAATTGTAGCACAAAGTTAAACACACCCAGGCATGTGCTAAAAATAGAAGGGAAAAATAAAAAGGAAAAACATTGGGTTTTTTGGCTCAGATTCCAGTTTGGTGATTACATGAACCATGAAAGTAGGGCTGGAGTGATTTGCAGTCATTAAACTTCTAATTGTAAAGGATGGCAAATAAAGAATGTGAATTTTTGGCATCCACCCTTCTGGACTGTTGCCATTACCTACTGATTCATGCAGTGGGCCCTGGGTACATTTTGGCAGAAGTTCCTCAACTGCTGTCAGTTACTAAGGTGATATAAACAGAAGTGGTGGCTGGGGGAACGGAGAGAGTCTCTAACTTGACTAAGATGAGAATTGTTGAGGCAAAAATTGGTATCTTGTTTTTTTGCCTATAAGTTCTGTTGATATAGTTTATTCTACAAATCTGCCATTTTAAATAAAAATACGTGCTTTTAAAAATATACAGTTTTTTAAAATTGGTAAAAGATAAATGTCAATCTTGTATCTGTATGTTTAAGACAAAGACTGAACTGCATTTAATGCCTGCAAAAAGAGAAAATAGTTAATGAGTTTATTAAGGACATTTCTGTTAACACTTTTACTATATTCCCAGTGCCCTATATTACGCAGGAAGATGCTCAATAAATGTTGACTAGAACTTATTTGTGTTGATAATGGAAGCATTATAAAAGATCCATAAATTATAAATTCTGTGGTTCTGATAATTGACACTGTAACATCTACAGTTTGCATCGTCTACTAAAAAAGTGTGTCTTTTTCAGTCCTTCTGTTGACTTGTGTTTCTTATCAGTTAGCTTATTTATTTAAATTTACTGTATCTTTATATATAATATGTGTGATATGTATAATATGTCATTTTATATAATATATAGATATGGTACACATGCACGCACACAGACACACACATGTGTTCCCGATTTTTCAGGGTAGTCCCAATTTTTTTTTTTTTTTGAGGCAGAGTCTGGCTCTGTAGCCCAGGATGGAGCGCAGTGGCACAATCTCAGATCACTGCAAGCTCCACCTCCCAGGTTCACGCCATTCTCCTGCCTCAACCTCCTGAATAGCTGGGACTACAAGCGCCCGCCACCACACCCGGCTGATTTTTGTGTATTTTTAGTAGAGAGGGGGTTTCACTGTGTTAGCCAGGATGGTCTCGACCTCCTGACCTCATGATCCACCCACCTCGGCCTCCCAAAGTGCTGAGATTACAGGCGCGATGTAGTCCCAAATTTAAATGACGTATCTTATTGTCGTATCTCATGTCTTAATTTGGGGTTTGGAAAATATGACCACTGTAAAATAGATACCTGGGTGATAGATGATGCTGATACCATTTATTTTGCAAAAGTAGCTTAATCCCTTGCTTCAACGGTTCCCACATAAGAGATTATGAGAAACTTAGTCCAGAGCCTGGCTCCTCAAAAGGGGGGACCTCAAACCAGCTGCGTTAGCCTCTCCTGGAAATTTGTTGGAAAGGCAGAATCTGAAACCACACCCCAAACCTCCTGAAGTCTGCAGTTTTATTAGATCCCCAGGTGATTCATAGGCACTTGAAACTTTGAAGAAGCACTGACTTCTTCAAATGGAAGGAAATGGACTTAGGTACCCAGATTGAAAAGACAGAGATTTTATAGTAAGAAATACTCAAATATGAACAAAAGTTTGGAAAATAAGATCCATAGAGCTAAGATTTTTTAAATGGAATTACTTATTTACAGCTAGAAAATCTTAAAGAGCTAGTAACTGTCTGGAAAATGCAAGATTAGCAGATAGAAGATGTTGACCAACTGGTGTCCATCTGAACCAACAAGAGAACAGACCTTCACTGTAGCACTAAGCACATTACTGTCATACAAGGAAGAATTTCCTGACATTGAGGATTGTTTAATATTTAATGGTTTTATCACAAGATATTATGACATTCTTTGGGGAACAAATAGATAATCAATTTTTTTCAGATAGATAGTTGTGACCCTATCTACATTTAGGGTCGAAACTAAGTTGCTTGTCATGGTCTTTTCAGCCTAATCAAGCCGTGATACAAATCATCTGCTGAGTTCCAACTCCATGTTCCAGCTGTGTATTCATGATTCAGTTTTCACTAGCCCTCTTGGCCAATTAGAAAATTGGTTGCCAGCCACAAAATTAACACCTTTTTGTCATTTCAGAAAATGAGCAAAATACTCTCTATGTCGTTACATGCAATCCTGCTTCCTTGTACTTTATGAATATGACTGGGGAAAGTGGCTTCTTTGTGGACTTTTTTGATATCTTCACAAGAACAGCCAATGGCATTTGGCACCCTTTTATGACAGTGGCACCGCTTGGAAGTCCTCTCAAAGGTCAAGTGGTTCTCCATGAGCAGCAGGTAATGCACACCAGGCTACAATGATGTGAAGAATGACTTACATGAAAGGCAAGGGTGATTAGAAACCTATAACTGAAAAGATGTGCTTTCATGATGATCAAGGAGAGGAGCTGGAGGGGATGGGTCAGGAGTTGCATTTTATCAGTACCACAAAGGCAGGCTAATGTCTTGCTTTCTCTAGAGACTTCAACATGACCTATAAATCTAGAAACAGGTAAGTCAGGGTTTTTCAACCTCGACACTATTGACATCTGAGGTCAGATGATTCTTTGTTATGAAGCTTCCACTCACTTTGGGGAGATAGACCAGTAAACCAACAAATGAACATGCCAGTTTCAGGTAATGATAATTGTTACATATAGAAACAGAGTAATGTCCAAGGGAGTGATGGGGATGGGGTAGGAAGAATTGAGAAAGTGAATGGTATTAAAAAGAGTGCTGAGATATCACCTTTTAGGAGATGACATTTTATCTGAGACCTGAATGACGTTTTTTGGTAGAGACAGCCATGTAAATACACCAAATGGAATACAGTGAGATCCATCAGTATCTAATGATGCTCAAGTTCTGTCCATCATTACTATGGATTAGTGCACTAAGATTGTATTAGTGACAAGCACAGATGCCCGGAGTCGGGCTAAAAATCAAACAAAACATATAGATCAGAAGACAGATTTCAATTAGTGAGAATTCTAAAGGTCTAAGTTAATCTATACAATACCAATAGAAAGGAGCCTAATGTTTTTGTATACCTATTATCAACTAGTATATACCAAGTACTACACTAAGCATATTATTCATTCAACAAACATATATCATGTGCCTCCTATTGAGGATACTGCAGTGACTAAAAATACCCAAAAACTCTTGTCCTCAAAAGCTTACATTCTGATGTAGGAAGATAGACAGTAAGCAAAATAAGTAATTGTGTCTTAAATTAGAAGGTGAGAAACAACAGGGAAGAAGATTGCAATTTAAAACAAGGCAGGCAGGGATTGCCTAATTGAAAGGGGGATATTTAAACAAAGATTTTAGAGAGGTGAAGAGGAGAACAGGTATCTGGAAGAAGAGAGTTCTAGACAAAAGGAATAGTAGGTTTAAAGGCCCAGAGGCTAGAAACATGCCTCTTCATCTTTAAAGAAGTGTAATGGGGAAGACTGAATAAGAGGGAAGTGCCGGGC